AGTCTTTTCATTTTTGTGTGCCTGAAAATGCCTTTCACCTTTATTTTTGAAAGATACAGAAGCCAGGTTGACAGGTTTTGTGTGTGGTTTTTTCCCTTTGATTTTTCTGTCCTGTGACGTTTGTGATGGAAGATCAGCTGTCATGCTATTTGAGTGTGGTGTGATATGCTTGGGAAAGGCTAACTGGTTTGGAGATATCTCGGTTTCCTGGACCAATGCATTGCTCTTCGTAATAATATCTGGAGATGTTTTTGATGTTATTTCTTCTGATGGTTTTTCTTCTTCCTTCGGCTGCTGGAACTCCCAATAAGTCACTTAGATTGTCCCAAAGCTCAATGAGACCTACTGCTTTGTGTTTGTTTGTTTTTGTCCCCATGCTTTCACTTAAACATTTAAACAATAGCTGTAGCTGTCTTCAAGTTCACTGTTACTTTATTACTTTATTACCTTATGTCACGTCTGCTGTCTGCCCTGTCTGTATTAATTACCTATTCCTGCTATCCCAAATTATGACAGCGAAGCAGTAGGAATTTGTTTTCGTACACTTCTGGATATCAGAAGTCTGAAATGAGTATCATGGGACTAACATCAAGCATTTGTCAAGGTTTCACTCCTTTTTGAAGATACTAAAGGATCCATTTTTTAACCTTTTACATACTGTATATACTCGTGTATAAGCCGAGTTTTTTCAGCACATTTTTAATGCAGTTTTTGTGGTAACACTAGGTGCCACGGCTGATAGTCGGTTCAGCTTATATTCGAGTATATACGGTGTGTAATAATAACTGCCCACATTTCTTCTCATGACCTCCTCCCTTCTTCAAAGCCAGCAATAGCTGGCAGAGCCTTGCTCTTGCATCTCTCTAGAACTGGAACTTCTTCCCCCTCGTCTACATTTAAGAACCCTGGTGGTTATAGTCAAAGGATCTAAGCATTGGGCTGCTAACCGGTTGGTGCATCAAGCACACTCATCACTCTGCAGGAGAAAGACGAGGCTGTCTGCTCCCATAAAGATGCCGTTATGGAAACCATAAGGAGCAGTTCTACTCTGTCTCCTAGGGTCCGTTTGAGTAGATTTAGTGGTTATCTTCTAGTCCCTAGGTAAACATAAATGGTTTGCTTTTGGTTACCACCTGAATGGCCAGCATGTTGAACCCATCCCATAGTGCCACAGAAGAAGAGGCCTCTTAATTTGCTTCTATAAAGATTAAAACCAAGAAAAGCCTATGAAGTAGTTCTATTGTGTACACATCGTGTCGCCATGACTCCGTGGAGTCATGTTTGGGTGTGTGTTGGGGTGGACGTGGTGGGGGTGGGGGGCGGGGGTTACATTTGGTCTACTGGAAAATGCATTTCAGTATTCTTAATCAAAAGACATTTGCAAGGTCCCTTCTGCCGTGTAAATGATCCTGTTCGCAGGTTTTTTGGATTTAGGATGAGGACATTTTGGAGCAGGGCAGTGCTCCAATACAGCAGTTACGGTAGTTGTCAGTTCTAGTAGTTATGCAGGAGACAGCTAACCACAAGGTTCGAAACCACTCCACAGGAGGATGGGGCTTTCTGCTGTAGAGTAACGGCCTCGGAAGCTTGGAAAGGCAGCTCTACGCTGCCCTAGAGGAATCAACTCCATAGCAGTGAGTTTTTCAGTTGAGAGACCATTGTATTATCTTTTTACAGTTTACAAATCTCTTGGAAGTTCTCATTATAGCCACCTTTTTCTGTAGATTCTTTAACATACTGAAAACATTTTAATAATTATGACTCCTTATCATCTGAGAATTTGTGTCCATTGACGGATTTTCTTTTTTGAATACAGGTCACATTGTACTATGTCTTTAAATATGTTAGAAATTTTTAGTTTTGTTCTGGACATTGGATTCATTGTAGAGATCTTGAATTTTATTGTCTTCATTTGGAGTGTTGAATTTTGTTCTTGGTGATCAGTAACCAAGGAATCACACCCAACTTCACTTCAAACAAAAATCCATACATCAAAACAGTATTTTTTTAAAAAACATGAAGGGTGGACAGAATGTTCTTTAAATGTAGGAAAATGCTAGCATCAGAGAATAATTGTTGCCGCATCTGTGTAATAATAAATTCTGGCAAGTCTTTCTTGAATTATAAAGCAAGATAGATTAAAGGAAGCTAACCAGACACAACAACCTAGCAAAATAATGAACTTAGATCACTTAGAACTTGTGGTGGGTTATCAATTTATTACTGAGTATTAAGGTTGGCCATTTTCATGTAGTGTATGATGAATCCTCTATTCCTAGGCTGTCTGCCCATTTTTTTTCCTATAGGACTATAATATTTTCACCTCATCCCCACCTTGTGAATTGGGTGAAGGATTACAGACAAAATCAGTTTTCAACTCAATTGATGCACATTTTGTTTCATGTCCTTGATTGCAATCTCTACAATGTAACATAAGTTACCCACTCCTCTGTTTCTCAGTCTCATCTGTTTCTTTCCTAACTCTTCCTGCTCTCTGAACTTTGTTGATCTGAAATGGTGGATTATTCTTCCATTTTAAGGAGTTTTGTGATTACTAGATACATTAACCCTTTTTCTGTGGTCATATGTTTCACATGCTTTCTTCCTATATGTCATTTTCTTTGCTTTTTTTCCTTTTTATGTAATCACATTTATCAGTCTTTTCTTTTATTGACTTTGCTTTTTATTTTTATTTATTTTTGCCATTTTATTAAATACTTTGATTGGGGACTCTTACATCTCTTATCACAATCCATACATTCATCTATTGTGTCAAGCACATTTGTACATCTGTTGCCATCATTTTCAAAGCATTTACTTTCTACTTGAGCCCTTGATATCAGCTCCTCATTTTTACCCCTTCCCCGCCCACCCACCCGCCCTCATAAACCCTTGATAAGTTATAGATTATTATTATTTTCATAGACTTTGCTTTTTAACGGGTTGAATTCAGTAGAGCTGCAGCTACAACATAAGTATAGTAATGTTTTGATCTACACCGAGGTAAAGAAGGGTTTGTACAGGTTTTTAGTTAGAGGCAGTATAGTTGATTGTTTATATTTAGATTCTGGAATATATACTATAGATTTCCAGTTGTACTTGGTTCTTAAACAAGAAAAACTAAAATGTAGTTATAGAAATCAGAATAACGGTAACTTCTGAGAGTTAGCACTGGGAATTGACTGAAAAGGGGATTAAAAAAAACTCACTGCCATTGAATCAGCTCTGACTCACAGCGACCCTAAAGGACAGGGTAGAATGGCCCCTATGGGTTTCCAGGACAATAACGCTTTACGGAAGTAGAAAGCCTTATCTTCCTCCCTTGGAGCGACTGGTGGGTTCAAACTGCTGACCTTATGGTTAGCAGCCCAGCTTGTAACTATTACACCACCCAGATAGTAAGTACCTCCTCCAAAGTACATGCATCTTATATATGACACTTCTTCCAGAGGACCACCCATTGTAGCATTTAAGTCTTAATTAAAGTATGTCACACTGGGACCCCACTGTAACTCTCCAGGAAGTAATTCAATAATCCCTACAACCATATTTCCAAATTACCAATGGTAGTGGAAAGCCAGATCTAATCAACTCATCAGTCTCTGCCGTAGTAAATTATGAAATCTCTCTATCTTAAGGGGTTGTTGGTTATTTGGCAGTCTATATGTGACCAAATGATACCTGTAAGATAACATGCATTTCACTGTATGTGAATTATACTTGAGAAATATATACCTGTCTATGGAAAACCCCAGAGGGGTAAAAAATAATAACACCCATGAAATAAGAACAGGATGCTTCAAAGGAGTTGGAGAAACCTGGAGAAAAGAAATAGCTCTCGGAAATTAAGACTATGACAGTCAACATTAAACATTCTATAGACCAGTGAAAGACAAAGTCAAGACTGTCGCTCAAAAAAGAGAGCCAAAGGTACAGATGGGAACGACTAGAGGATCAATCCAGAGCAACTTTCCAGAACATTCAACTTCCTCGAATGGCAGCTGTCCTGCATTAGAATAGAGTACTTCAGAACGTATTGTGTAACTCAAAAGTATTTAAGCAAAGAATTAATGACCACAAATCAGGAATGTAGCGGGTGGGATTTCTTTAATAAAATTTAGACCTCCCCTCCTCCCCCCGATTTTCTAATCATGTTTTACAATTTCAGGGTTGGATCTTCCTCTGTAGTCATTATTTAATTACAGTTTTGAAGCCTGATTTGCATAAATGTCAGAAAGCATGTGACCTTTATGTAGATTTCTAGCTTAAAACATTTGAAACTTTTGGAAGAGGTTTTTGAAGCTCTAGGATTGTTAATTAAATAATGTAATTGAGCACTTGCTAATATGTCACTGATTATTTTCCATATCTCTGAAATTACGGTGTTTCTGATAATCAGTAGTATTTTATGACAATTTTCAGTGTTTATAGACATGGTCCTTATCTTTATGAGTTAAAAAAGTCCCTTTGTTACCCATTGCTTTGTCTTGCCAAGTTCCTGGTGAGAGCCAGGTCAGAAGGAAGTATGTCTGTCTGTCACGTACTTCCTAGATGGAAATATTACTTTATCCCTTTTTAATAGCTAAATATGCCAGTTCTCTGAAGGGTGTTCTTGGGATGAAGTTAATCCAATAAAAATATTACTATTTGTGTGCACGTGTGTGTTAGATAGTATATGTGAACTTAACAGGCACTGTGTAATTTGCTGCCTGGGTGACTGCTCACACTAAAGGACTTTGAGATATATTAGTAGAAATCCACGTTTTACTAAAACTAATCTTGACATGCTCATTGCAAACATTTTCTATGAAACAATACTGTGTAATAGGGAATGGACATTTCTGTAAGAAAGCAAACACTTCTAGACAAGAATTGTGCTGCTTAGCAGCACAGAGACCAGCGATGCTCAGGGCCGTACGGTGTATCTCAGCTCTAACTTTGGGGATGTGGTTGGGCTGGTCTTCCATCTCTCATGCTACTCTTTTCCCAATCTCTTTCAGTATTTAGGGCAGTTAACTTCCATACCAGGATACCTGAATCCTTCCAGTAGGACTGAAATTCTGCATTTTATAGACAATGCAAAGGTAATCCTATTCTCTTAACTCCATATTGTGCTTTGGCCTACTCTGTGCTTTTTTCCTGGGCCCTCATATTTGGGTTGGGTGGTTCAATTTTAGCATAGGATTGGCACATCTTGCTCCTAGCCGTTAAGAGTGTTCCTCACCTTGAATATTCACATTATCCACTACCTGCTGCATATGATTAAGGGCTGTTTCTAGAATTTAGATTTTCAAGCTTTTCCAAGCAACATGCTAGAGAGCTGACTCTCAAGGCAGTTCCATAAGAATCCCGTGAACCCTTTCGACGCTGCAGCCCTGGTGAAATGGCGTGAAGACCATTGCTGGGAACAACCTTGTTTTATCATATTATACTTAGATAAGCACTGACCCGGTGATTTCAACCAGCGAGTGTTTGTGGGGGCGGGGGGTGAGGAGCCCTGACCCGCAGCCACAGCCAGGGCTCTACATTTCTGATGACCTGCGGATCTTTCCAGAGGGCCCACCAGCTTCCTGGACACTTGACCCCAGAGCACGATGCCGTGATCAGCCTCTCTGCCTACAATGTCAAATTGGCATGGAGAGATGGGGAAGACATCATCCTCAGGGTCCCCATTCATGACATTGCTGCTGTCTCTTACATCCGGGATGACTCGGCGCACCTGGTGGTCCTGAAGACAGGTACAGAACTGGAAGGTGGGCTAACGAGGTAAAAGCAACCCAGACCTTGTCCTGGGAATTAATCCACAGATCTAATGAAGGTGTCAAGACAGCTTTTATGGCACGAGGTTGGATCCCTGGGGTCTAAGGGGATAGTACCCTTAACAGATTGGGTTGACCCTCTCTTCCAAGGCCTGGCTACAGAAGGCCTTGGCCCAGGAGTAGAACCGAGCAAAGTCATCCAGCTCACTCAGCCCCTTGTAGCAAATATTTGGGGCTGGTGTCAACAAATCACTCTCGCATCCTCTGCCCAGATGTGCTGGCCTCCAGCTCCACCGAGGCCACACTAGAGCCCTCCTGTGATACCCATGACTGAAGCACAGGGACAGCGGTGCCTGCCTGTTGGTGAGGCCCAGCAGAGGGGAAGGTTGGTTAACACACACACACCCCTCTCCGAGCTTGGGGCGCTGCAGTAGGTGCAGCCCTTCAGGGATCCCCTGGCTGACTTGCCCGATACTTCTTTTGTGGTAGCGTCAGAACAGACAACTTGTTATCCCCGTGAACATTCAGGTAGAGTTTGGCTCCTCCGCTATATAAAATCATCATTATACACTCCCTCTCTGCATCTGTCGATGTTTCTAAGGAAAGCAGGTAATGGAATGTTTAGGAGGGAGAGAATGAGCTCAGTAGGAAGAGCTTACTGTCATCAGGCCTTGGACCACAGTGTTAACTCACAGAAGAACACAGGGAAAATGCTGCACGCCATTAGTGTCCTGGGTTTGAAGTTGGTGTCACAGAGCATTTTCCTGGGCTCAGCCGGAAGCCACCCATTTCTAAAAGGCATAGGAGGCTTAGCCTGGCCTTTTTGAGTACAGAGAGAATTGCTTTTCCATTTGAGTGTCACAGTTGTTTGGGAATCCACACCCTTCTAAAAAAAAAAGTCGTGCCGGCTGCAACGGCACATATACTAAAATTGGACCGATACAGAGAAGATTAGCATGGCCCCTGGCCAAGGCTGACACGCAAATTCGTGAAACCTTCCATATTAAAAAAAAAAAAAAAGTAAAGTCTATTGAGCTCTCATTATTTTTACTTAAGCCATACATATGATCACTAGTGTCGGTAGTTGACAGGCACTGGTTGGCCTAGGAATCTAATGGGGTCACTGCATCGCACCCCACAGAGGTTTACTCTGGAGTGGTGTGTGAGACGGTGCGGGGAGTTCTTGTTGCGGTTTGCAGTAATAACTAAGACGCGCCCCCCCCCTCTCCCCCCCCCCCATACACGCAGGTACTCACTCTGGTGCATACATGCTCACCCACTGTTCCTACTCACTCTGCTCACTCATACACTGTTGCAATGCATTCATATGTATGCTGCCTTGCACACTCATTCTCATGTTTTTTAAACCATTTTATTGGGAGTTAATACATATATCATCCCATAGTTCAATCACATCAAGCAGTATTGTGTAATTGCTACCACAGTCATTTTCAGAACATTCTTTTCCTTCCTGAATCCTTGACATCAGCTCCCTTATACCAAGCCCCCCCCCACCACCACCCTCACTGGGTCCCCAGAAACCCTTCTCCTTGCTGTCCCTGTAGGTTCATCACTTCCCTCCTGTCTTCGTAGACATACTGCCACCCACACTCAGTTGCACGTGGCACCACTCACCCTGTGCCCCGGCCCTGCGGAGTGCAGGCCCCTCACCTTTGCTTGCCCTTCATGCTGTGTGCGGCTGCCATTTGTATGAAAATGGTGATTTAATATTGATCAAACTAATACAAAACATTTTATATGGATTATCTCATTTAATGTCCATCATTAAACCTATAAGACCAATGCTATCATATTCTCATTTTACAGATGGGAGTACTGGAGTTTAGATAGACGAAGTAATTTGATCTAGGTCACAGAGTTAGTAAATTATCTTGAACCAAGTCTGTCTGGCAGTAGACCTTTGCCTTTTAATCACTCCTAACCTTTATTCGTCCGTCGCACTGCTGGATAGTCCCTTCAGGGCCTTTGGCTCTGGGCAGAGTCAGGGACAGAGAGGATTAAGGAGACTGGCTTCTGGATGGGGTTCTTGTGAGCATGTTAATTAGGTAAGCTGGAAGAACTGTCGGAAGATGAGGAAAAGCCTCTCTCAGAGGCTGTTGTCCAGACCGTTGAGGAGGTGTGGGTCAGGGCCTGTCGAATGCTTGCCTCATTCGTCAGTTCATCAGGGGAGGCTCCTGATAGGCGATGCTTTGCAAGGCTGGCGGGGCAGTCAGAGTCACGTGGACTACTGTGAGAGTCATTTGCAGACTATCATCCCAAGGTGTAGGCTGTGTACCTGGCCTGGCAGTACACTAGACCCTTCAGTGATCTCAATGGAGATGCTCTGTGTTCCCAGCCCAGGACCCTGGCATCTCCCCGAGTCAGAGTCTGTGCGCAGAGAGCTCCCGTGGCCTGACGTCAGGCTCCCTGTCAGGCAGTGGCGTGGTGCCTGTGGAAGCATGCTGCTTGGTGGTCCTGGCTATGGAGAGCAAGGTAAGAGGATGCACGGTTCTGCCTTTGAGCCCAGGCTGCCCCAGGCTCTATTGTCCCTCTGCCCTTCCCAGTACCTCACTCTCTCCACCCTACTCTGACAGTGGAGTCACCTGCTAGGAGAAGACTGGGGCAGGTGCCAAGAGCTGGGAGTTGGGGTTGGGGTTTGGGCCCCACTCGGTCCTCTAGCAACTGTGTCACCTTGGGTGGATCACTTCATGCCTTTCTGTGAGTTACTGTAACTGCCCTACAGCAGAGTGTTGTCTTAGCCCCTTTGACATTTCTGACCAGATAGTCCATTGTTTGGAAGAAAGCTTGGCATAGCCTGTAAGGCCATAGCCTTGAAGTTCAACTCAGTACGCACAGGGTTTCTGTGAGTCGGAATCAATTCAATGGCATCCTTTTGTTTTTTGTTTTGTTTTGGGGGGGGGGTGTCGTTGTGAGCACTGCAGGATATTTAGCACTACCCCTGGCCTCTCCCCTCTAAGTGCCAGAAGAGCCCCTCGGGTGACACTAAAACTGTCCTCAGACATTGACCATTGACCAGGCAGAATGGCCCTGGGTTTAGAACCTGCTGTAAAGCAACAGACAGAACACTGTCCCCAAATGTTTTTCTGTTGAGAATGCTGTCTACATGCACTGGTGGGGTAGTGGTCACACAGTGGGTTGCCACCTGTAAGCTCAGCAGCTCCATGAGAATCAGATGGGGCTTTCTACTCCTGTAAAGAGTTACCGTCAGGGAGGTCGCGGACGCTCACCGAGGGAGTTCCTCCCTGCCGTGAGGCTCGCTGTGAGTTGGCAGGGACTCAATGGCAGTGAGTTTGAGGAGAGAGCTGGCAGTTCAGGGGATGGGAAGAGAGATGAATGGAGAGGAAGGTGCTGGCAGACCAGCTCCCAGCCTCCACCTTCTCCCTGTCATCAGTGGGTGAATGTGAGGCCACCGCTGGGCCACCTCTCTCATCTTAGATAGACCCAGTGCAATCGGAGGGATCTTTGTCACAATATCCCATTTGGCAGTCGAAGGCTGAGGGACACTTGGCTCTGGGGCTGACACTTTTTTCATGCATTCACCACTCATCTGTGTGCTTGGCAACTGAGCACCTGGGGCAGTGGGGGCCCATTGGCAGATCCACGCCGAGACAGTGACCAGCCGCAGGCGGGCGACATTGCCCGCAGCAGCTGTTCCTCTCCCCGACCCTCCAGGGAGCTGCAGAAGAGCTGTGCTTGCTGCTCAGCCAGGTCTTCCAGATTGTTTATACGGAGTCCACCATCGACTTTCTGGACAGAGCAATATTTGATGGAGCCTCGACACCCACCCAGCACCTTTCCCTGCACAGCGATACATTGGGTGAGCACATCTCCCTTTCCGGAAGCCCGCCCTCCGCCCACCTCCCCAAGAGTATTCAAGGCAGCAGCTTACTGTTTTCTCGGGAACTTTTGAGCAGAATGGTCTAGACAGCTGGATAGCTTCCTAGGGTAACTCCGGGGTCCCTGCGTACTTGCTCTGGAACTGCATGTGACTAAAGTCACTACACTTAGTTCAGAGCATGGAGGAGGTCTGAGGCCTTTCCCACTTTGCACCCCAGGCCTTGGCCACTGAGCAGTCAGGGGTTGGTTCCAGGATGGCACAACAGAAGATGGCCTGTTGAGCTGCTTGGAAGCCTGGGATGGTGGGTAGGAAGGAATGGACAGGAGCCCACAAGGTGCTCAGATGGGTTGAGCTGGCAGCGGCAATTTCTGAGGACCTCTCAGGAGTCTGCAAAAAACAGTCCATCCGTGGACACGTCGGGCAAACCTTTCAAACTGTTCAGTGGCTCAGTTAGGACTCAGGACTTCGGTCAATCAGATGTACAGTCAAGGAGACGCTGTAAGTGGTGCCAGGCTGCTGCCTGCAGAGCTTGTGCTGATGGCATGCGTGACATTGTCCTCACCACGTTACATGGGAAAGGGAGGCTCAAAGGACGTAAGTGGCTCCCGCAGAGTAACACACCCAGTAAGTAGTGGGCTGTGTACCTAGAGGTACATTGATATCCACATTTGGCTGCGTGTGTGATTAGTCTGATTCTTAAAATTGATTTTAAATTCCCCAAAGGGCCTTGCTTTTCTTTTCTTTCACAAACCTTTTTACGGACAAGGACACAGTTCCTAAGTGTGCAGGTTGGGAGTTTGTGATGCAGACACACTCCTGAGTAGACGTTTCTTTCTGGTCTTGCCCGCCCTCAGCGTGCTAGATGATGTACCTTTCTGCTGACCTCACCTGGCCTCCTCCTACACACAGAGAGCCTTGTATTTCTTCCTGGGGCTTGCTGACTGCCTTCCTGTCGCTGCAGTCTCAGGTCTCCAAACTTAACACCCGAAGGGGAAAGAAGTCCATAGGCTAGAATCAAGGTGTTGGCAGAACTGTGTCCATTCCAGAGAGTTTGAAGGAGAACCTACTTCCTGTCCTTTCCTAGCGTCTGTAGGCCACCGTGTTCTTGGACGCAGAGCCCGTACTGCAGCTTCACAGCCTGCGCCATCGCGTCTCGCTGATGCTGCGTCCATGGATCCCTCCCCCTTAAGGACCCATGCTTTGGAGTCCCTGAATGGCTAAGATGGTTGAATGCTCGACTACTCACCAAATGTCTGGTAGTTCTAAGGCACCCACAGACCATTGAAAGCAGCCTTGGTCCAAACGGAACTTGATTGTCCTCGGGAGCAGTTCTTGTACTACACACGTGGGAGCTCGTGAGTCACTTGACTCCATTGCAGCTGTGTGTGAGAGAGAGAAAGAGGTGGCTTTGGCTTTCCCGAATCAACCAGGGTCATCTCCCTATTTTAGGATAAACTGATGAGCAATCTTAATTTCGTCAGCAACTTTAATATCCTTTTGCCATGCAACCGACTAGTCATAGGTTCTGGGGATGAGAGCATCTTTGGGTTCTGCTGACCACAGTGAGAATTGGTCCTTTTTTCTCCCGTGCTCTGCTATTTAAAGTCCTGCACCCTAATTGACCTGCTTTTCTCTTAAGGCTCACTGCTGATCACGGCAGCTTTGTGCCCCTGTTGTCTGGTTCTCACTAGTAGTTTCTCAGACAGCTGGGACTTTTTTTACTGAGCACCTCTTGGGTAACTGAGCCTGAGCCAGACCTTTTGTTAGTGCTGTGAGTCATCTCAAAACCCCCCCACCCCCACCCCACCCCGTGAGCCACGGTAGGGACAGTGGGCCATCTGGCTCGGGATGTGACTTCTGCTCTCACGAGCTGTGTGAATTGGTGGTCTGTAACGTCTCTGGCTCAGTTCCTTGGAGAAATCTAATGGTGACAGTTTGGATTAGAGGCAGCAGTCATTAAGGCTTTGTGCCACTGCAGCCCTCACCCCGTGTGTCAGACGTGCATGGATAAATCCCCGGAAGCACATGTATGGGGTGCCGCTGGTGGCTCCCAGTGGGGTTGGGTGTGGTTCCTGAGTGGCTGGTGGCTGGCGTGCCTGTCCCAGCCCAGCAGCAGTGACCACTCATCTCACCCTGGCAAGAGCTGCGAGGGGGGTTCACAGGCCTCTCTGCTGTGTAACCAAAACCCGGTGTGTTCACATTTGCCTCACAGATGACTTGTCCACCAAAGTGGACATCAAAGAAGCCTACGAGACAGAGGCCAGCACTTTGTAAGTAGAACCCCCTCTCTGGCCCTGGCACTCAGCAGCAGCTGCTGCTGCACTGCTAGCATTTGGGGGGCTGCTTTACCCCCATGCCCCACCCATCAGTCAGCTGACTTTGCACACACTTCACCTGCCTTTGAGCCCAGGCCCCCACCCAGTAAGGGACTGACCCTCTACACCATGGATTCCATCTTTCCTTGCTCAGAAGGCTTGATTCTGCTCTCAAGAACCCCTCTAGCAGATATGTACCTGTCCCAGGACCCCTGTCATCCTAACCCTGCCCTTCGTTCCGGCACCTGTGGGGGAGAGATGCATAGAAGGCAAGCTGAATTGCCTTAGGTCCTCTGCCAGGGCCTTGGCCATCTCCCGAGTAGACTTTTCATCATGGTGCATGCAGCCTTGTGCCGTGAACCCAGCCAAGCCTCTCCCTATACTTCCTGCCTCCACACAGCCCGGGATGCCCTAGGGCAACAGGTCTGGAGCGCAAGCAGAGTCAGGCGCCCCTGCTGCACTCTCACACACTCTCTACTCCACAGCTCATTCCCTGACCCCACAGATGTGGGTGGCTTCGCGTCATTGTCCTTCTGCATGCCACCTTCACCCCACCCCAAGACAGCCAGCGATAGTGAGCTGAGCACCACGGCCACTGAGCTCCTGCAAGACTACATGCTGACGGTATGCCTTTCCTGGGCCCAGGGCCACAGACAGAGCTGGCCATGGCTGTGCTGCCATGACCCCCAGCTCTGCACCGACTGGAAGTCCCCAGCCCGTCACCTTGAGAGAGGGCGCAGGCAGAATCCCCAGCCTTGGTGGGTAGGGCAGGGTGGGCCTGGCCAAGGAGGAGCAGAAGCAGGGAAACGCTTGGCCATCCTTTCTGTAAATGTGGCTCCTTCCCGGTGCACCCTTTCCTTGGGGTGTGTGAGCCGGCCGAGTATGTGTGCGGCATGTTCGCTTCTGGGGCAGGACTGCAAACCCAATCCAGGCCTGGGATCCTGTGCTCACTCCCCTGGCTGGCTTTGCCCATACCAGTTCCTTCCCCTCTCTGCCGAGCTTCAAAGCCCAGTTGTGCTGTTTGTGTGTGCCCTACCCCAGAGGGCAGTCAACTGTTGGCTCAGGCCCCAGGCGCAGGCTCAGACGTGGTTAGTTCAGGGATGCCCCTTGGTTCTCAGGAAGGTGGCCTGGCTCCTCTTCTGTGGCTGACTGTGGCCAGCACACTCTGGATACTGCAGCTGTTTCTTCTCTCAAGGTTCCCCAGAACATGCTGTCCCAGATACCGAGTCCTTCGACGTCCTGGGAGTGTGGGAGTGAGTCCCTTACACATTGCAGGGCTTGGGTGAACCCCCACACCCTCCTCCTGCTATCTCAGCCTTCCCTCAGTCCCAGAGGGAGAGCCAGGTCCCAGTGACTTAGGCTTCGGATCCAGGCGCAGACTCTTGGCCACATACTAGATTCGCTGGTGCTACGACGGGGGGAGCATGGGAGGAGGGACGGGGATCCTGCCAGATTGCCGCCTAAGCCTGGTGCGCATTACATGCCTGGTGTCCACGGCCAGGGGCTCTGCCCAGCGTGGGGAGCTCTGGCCCAGGGCTCCAGCAGAGGCACAGACGGCAGGGAGGGCGGGCTGTCACTGCCTCTCGGCTCCCCGTCCCCAGCCCTGGTGGCTCTGCTCTCTTCCAGCTGCGCACCAAGCTGTCATCCCAGGAGATCCAGCAGTTTGCCATGTTGCTGCATGAATACCGCAATGGGGCCTCCATCCACGAGTTCTGCATCAACCTGCGACAGCTCTATGGGGACAGTCGCAAGTTCCTCCTGTTGGGTGAGCGCGCCGCTGTGGTTGTTGGGTAGAAAGAGATTTAAACCAAAGCATGTTAACACAGGGTCTCAGGAGAAACCCATGTCGTTCTGCTTGGGATGGCTTTCCCAGTGACTGGGGGTGTCCCACGTCACTCACTGCCCTCAGGGCCCAGGAACAAGACTCTGAGGGAGCAACGGGATGCCCTAGGGCAGTGAGACAAGCTGGCAGTGGAGAGAGTCAGTGCCAGCCGCCGAGGGCCAGGACTGCTCTTGAAGAAGGCAGCAGAATATGTAGCAGACAAGGTGAAGCCTCTCCAGGTGGTAGGGTGGGTGATAGACAGCCACACTAAACTTGGCCACCTGAGTCGACACTCCCAGTGGGCATGAGCATGGCTCAGGCTCCCCAAAGGCTGACTAGTTGAAGGCCTCCTGGGTCCAGTCTGTGCCCATAAGCAAACCGTCACCAGGGGCGTCTGCTCTCACTCTGAGCACCGCAGAGCCTGAGTGTCGGGCTCCTGCCGATTCATGCCTGGGGCCAAGCACCCAGCCAGAGTTTAAGGTCAGGTCCAGTTCAGATGTTCCCCTCAGGCTCCCCCCACCCTGGCCTTGCTCTCTCAGGGCTTTGAATGTGTGTAAATGTGTCTGAGGACTTCATAAGGCCTTGTCTGTGGAGCTAGGCCTTGGTTAGGGCTAAGGGGTGAGGAAGCAACTGTGAAGTTTAGTGTGGAGGGTCTGCAATCCTACCCCTGGTGCTAGCAAGGGATGCTGCCTCTGTCAAGCATCTTGTCTTCTCCCTTTGTTTTTGTTTGCCCAGAGCCCTTATCTAGCAGGTGGAGGCAGGTCTGGTCTGCAATTGTTTCCTCAGCCTCGGCTCTGTCCTGCATCTACTCTGAGACCCAGGGCCCTGGATGCCCACTGTGCCGACTCATTGGTTCTCATCTCAGCAGCCCCAGTTCAACAGCAAGCATCCCAGATGCAGTGTGGGGCTGGGCTCCTGTTGCTGGGAGGGGCCTGGTTGTCTATCCAGATGAAGTGATGACAATTGTGTCTCTTCCAGGTCTGCGTCCCTTCATCCCTGAGAAGGACAGCCAACACTTTGAGAACTTCCTGGAGACAATTGGGGTGAAGGATGGCCGGGGCATCATCACAGATAGCTTTGGCAGGTACCGACGGGCCGCCAGCACTGCCTCCAGCTCCACCACCAATGGGAACAGGGCCGCCGGTAGCTCGGATGACCAGTCCTTGCCCTCTGAGGGAGACGAGTGGGACCGCATGATCTCGGATATCAGCAACGACATTGAGGCACTGGGCTGCAGCATGGACCAGGACTCTGCGTAAGGCATCCTCAGGGAGAGCACTGTGCGGCCTTAGGGGAAGGCAGATCCTGGCCTGCTTCCTGTCGCCGCCCTGGCTGCCTTTCACGGATGGGCTCGTGCCCCCAAGCGGGAGGCTGCTGGGAGGAGTCTAGGCCCGCTGCTGTCTCCTTGCGGGAGCTTGTGTTCCTGCTGCCCTGACATGCACAGCAGCCAAGGAGACGGGCAGAGGCTGAAGGCTTGGTTCTTGGACAGCCACTCCCGCATCTCAGTGTCCACACCCGGAGGAGGGACGGACGAGGCCAGCTCTGCGATCTAGCCCAGTGTTGGTCACTTCCTACACAAGTTTCCGTTTTTGCACACAATGTTCCTATTGTAACTCTCAGAGACCTTTCAAAAAGCAGGCTACAATGTGAATCATTTAAATCTCTGGTTGCCTAGTGCATTTCTCATCCACATGGGCAGGGGAGCTGATGCCAAAAGGAACGTCCTCCTGGTTGGGTTCCACCCTGGACATCTATCCTGGGGTGAAGCCTGGGCTCTCATCCCCAAGGATAGCTCGACCTAGCAGGGAGGGAGTGGAGGAGGCGCCACCTGCCCCCCAGCCCGGCTCCATTGGTGTGGCACTTGCACTTTCCCCCCTCCCCACACCTGTGCTTCTCCCTCTCCGGGCCTGAAGTCAGCATGCACGTCTCACTGCTTTGCCCACTCCCCTGGGGGCTGAGGCCCAGATGGGTCCAGCCTGTGCCCACAGTCAGTCTGCCACCCCGGGCTGCTCCTCTCAGCCTGAACACCGCAGAGCCTAAGAATGGCCTTAGCCAGCTCCTCCCCGGGGCTCACTGAGCTGGAGCATAAGGTCAGATCCAACTCAGAAGTTCTCCCAGCCTCCCTCCCAGCCTGGCCCTGGGTTCTAAAACCTGTGAGGGGCCGCCAAGGAGGCCATAGGTCTTGCTGTGAAGCTGGGCCTTTCTTCAGGACGGAGAGCTGAGAAGGCAATGTTGAAGTCTAGTGTGCGGGGTTTGTGCCCTCCCTCTAGCCCTGCAGGAAGCGCCCACCACCTTCCTCTTCCAGCAGGCCCCTCCACCACCGGCTCATGTCTTACTGCGCACAGAGGTGCTCTGAGCCCCACAGCCTGGCTTGTGCTGCGTGACGCTGCCCTTGCTGACCAGCCCTGGGCCACACCCTCCTCCACTGGACATCTCTTCCGGCACTTGTGCCAGCCCACAGCCCCTGATGTATGCCTTTGCAATCTCTGCCCAGTACGCATCCGAGACCCACAGCTGCCTTTAACACTGCCTATCTGGGGACCTTGTCTCTGAGTTGAGTATCAAAGTGGCAGCCCCTCGGCCAAGTTCTTCCACCATACCTTCTCCCCACATAGGCCATGTGGCACTTCTCCCCTGAGCCCACTGGACTGGGCTTGGCCTGCACTCAGGAACCCCCGTCCCCTTTAGCCAGTGGACATCTTTTCTGGGACATGGTCTTTGTGGCCAGTGTTCAGGTCTGCCCCTGAACCTACAGCTGGGTGGGAAGATAGGAGTAGGGGCAATGCATACAGAAACGTTCCTCTCTCCACGTGCCCTCTACCAGACAGCCCCTCTGTCTACCTAAGATGCTGGTAGAACCCCTCTCCAGCCCACCCCCACCCAGCAAGGATTGGGTGGGGTGCTGTGTGTCAGGCTCTGGCTGCACCAGAGCAGCCAGCCTCTTTCTTAAGCTCTGTCCTGAGCAGTGCCAAGGTCCCGGCCAGGAGGGGATCTCGGACACCCAGAACGGCAGGGTTTGGTCAGGGAGACATCTCCCTCTCAGTCCTGGTTGGCCACAGCACCAGGCCCAGCCAGGGAAAATCCAAGGTGAATATATAGTTCAGGGAACTGTCTAAACTTACACTCACCTAGACCTGCCGTGTAGACATCTGAAGTCACCGAAAACAAGCTCTAATCCAGAACACCTCATGGGCACTGCGTCCCAGGGGGAGACCAGGCCTGAGACCAAATCCACACTGGGCTCTTAACAGGGCTACCGCAGCACCCATGTGGCTACCGCACTGGTCCATAGATGCATTCTCTGTGGGGCATGCCACGGTACATGCGTGTCGTGCAACCTCGCACTGCAGGCCACTAGTGTGCCTGGCCAGAAAGGGGCCGGTCAGCCCGAGGACGGGGATGCAGGAGGCAGAGGCCTCTGGCCGTGCTCCAGAATGTCCTCCTGGCGTGTGGGCGCCTCGAGGAGGGGGTACATTTAACTGCTTGGCCTCGTGAAAGCACAAGGCTCTCTTGAGGAGTTACTTCCATCTAGGCCTTTATTGAGACCTTTCGCCGAGAGTTCCTACCGGAAACTCCACCCCCAAGACAGCTCTCCCCTGGGCTAGAGCCCACTCCTTCAAGTTGCTTGGCCTCAGGCCCCTCCCTAGTGATACAGCGGCCTGTGAGCAGGAGGTGCAGGATGGGGACAACCTCACAATGGGCGGTGAAGCTCCTCCACTTCCTGACCACCTAGAAGCAGACGCGGCGCTGGGGGTTACAGGTTTATTGAGCAGCAGAGCTGGGAGGGGAAAAGGCAGGGAGGTGAGGTGCCTGGGTAGGCCGGCCATCCAGGGGCTACATTGTCAGCTCCTGCAGGAAATACCAAAGTGTCAGGTTGAAGGGATAAAAAAAAAAAACCCAACCCTAACTCAGCTGCCATCAAGTCGGTTCTGAATCAGAGCAACCCTAGAGGGCGGGGTAGAACTGCCCCCGCGTGTTCGGAGACTGTAACTCTTTACAAGATCGAAAGTCTTCTGCAGAGCAGCTGGTGGTTTCAAACTGCTGGCCTTGCAGTGAGCAGCAGCCCAATGTGTAACTACTACGTTACCAGGTAAGGGAAAAGGGAGCCCAAATATAACAGCAGTGAACTTCTACCAGGGCCCAGGGGAGGCAGAGGTGCGTACTTCTACCTCTCCTAGGGCCCCAGTAGAAGCCGGCCTCTGGCTAGAACAGCCAAGCACACGGCCCTGACATCTCCAGAATGGTCCAGCGGGCTGCTTACCATGATAGCGTTGACGATATCGCTGTGGTTGGCCCTCAGGGCCTGCACAGCCTTGGCCTTTGAGACGTTGGCCTGAGCCATTACCAGTTCAATATCCCGAAGCTCCAGCCCTGTCTCGTCCACCTATGGGAGGAAGCAGGCAAACCGATGGTAGGAAGCTGCTGAGCCACCCTGGCCGAACCCAGCTGAACCACAATCTCACCTCCTCCTCTTCCTCCTCCTCTTCCTCCTGGCACTCCGGCGTCACCCTCAGCCCTGCAGCCGACTCGGAGGCTGGGGCTGAGGGGTCAGGAGGAACCTTGAACTTCTCTGCTGCGGCTTTGTGCACTTGCTGGGATAGGTCCTCAATCTGCAGGCCCACAAGGCAGAGAGTTGAGCAGCCTGCACCCGGCTCCCCCACCCCACCCCACCCCACCCACCCAAACCAAGACAGACTTTGGCCTCGCCAAAGACCACGTAGGTGTCAGAGGCTGGGCTCTTGAAGACATCGGGCTTGCTGATGACAAAGAGGATGTTCTTGGACTTCTGGATGGTGATCCTAGTGACGCCCGGAATCTGCCGCAAGCCCAGCTTAGACATAGCCTGCGGGGGGAGGAAGAGTGGGAGCTCGGGACTCCAGCTTGCCCTTGACATTTGAGGACCAAATGTCAGACTCCAGCCAAAGGGAGTGTCAGCGTGTCCACATCTCTGCGATAAGGATTAGACTCACTCTATTGCGAAATCTGTTTCTTCTCTGACGTCGTAGTTTAAGCTATTTTTACCAGAGGTGAGGGTCCACTGCTCCGTTTGTCTGCGTGCCCAGCAGTGGAGTGTACAAGTCTGAGGAAGTCTGCAGCCAAGTCTGAATCTTGGCAGGTAGCACCTTCCCACCTACCATCCTGCAGGCCTTCCAGCCCCCTTCCCTGGACACACCCACTGCACCCACCTTTCGGGCCTTCTTCTCACTGCGGCTCTGCTTGGCTTTGGCGATGGTCTCTTCACTGCTGCCTACTGTTGGGCCCTGGGGACAGGAAAGAGTTCAGGTAGGGGTGATGGGAGCCACCCACAGGACACGGTGTGACTCCCCTGAAGCTTAGCCTCTCTCCTAGACCTGGGTGCAGGGGTGGGCAGGGTCACCTGGGGTGGGCCCCGTGCTGTCCGGGGGGCTGCCAGGTCCTGCTCCACCTCGGGGGCTGAAGATTCTGCATGGCTGTCTGAGTGTTGGCCCAAGTCTGGAGCTTGCAGGGAGTCTGGGAGAGAAAGAGGCAGTGAAAAAGCAGAGACATATGCCCAGCCCTGGATGCAGCCTCAAGGTGGAAGGGAGACGAGCTGGGCCTTGGTGGACACAGGTAGGCTATCTCCTGGTGTGGGAGGTCCATCCGCGCCGTCCTGTCTGACCCTTCTGAAACATGCAGTATGTCCCTCAACCTTTGGGGACCTGCCCTCCTGGTATGTGGCATCCACCCCTCACCAGCTCGGGATAGCGCCAACCCTGAGCAGTCCACTCCGCCAACCTCACCAATATGCCCCCCCCCCCCCGCTTACCTTCCTCAAGACTGTCCTGGTCCTCTTGCTGCTCAGGGGTCGGAAGCCTTAGAGTTCTGGTTGGGGGCAGGGACCCAGAACCTGGAGGCACTTGACAGGGGGTGCAGACAGGCTGGTCTTTGGCATGGGGAGCCACCGTGGAGGCTGCCGTGGGGCTGAGGAAGGGCGAGAAGCCAGCCTGCAGCCCAGCCTCAGGAGGCCCCAGGGTTCCTGAGAGGGCATCCGCTGCCTGCTGAGCTTCTGAGATGAGCTGCTGGAAGCCTGGCAAGCCTGGGGGCCTAATGTCCCTGCAGTCTCCTCTGGGCTCCTGACAATGGCAGGGGCCAGGGTCTGCAAAGTGAGGCGGGGCCGCTCCACTGTGGAAACCAGGCGAGGAGGGGTCAGCTTGCAGGGACCCATCTTGGGCGTCGTGGGAAGGGTCTTGGGCACAGGTTCCTGGGGACTGGCAAGGGGAGTGGCTCAGGCTACTGGAGACCGCTTGGGCCCACTCCTCCACACCCAACTGGGGCTGTGGGGCTCTGGGGCTGATGCCAGTCTCAGGCTCAGGGCACCATGAAGTGGTTGGGGAAGTTGTAACAGGCACGGGCTCTCCAGGACAGCCCCTGCCAAGCCCAAGTACAGACCCTGCTGAGGACTGTGGGTGACTGGCCAGATCCATTGCCCAGCTGCTACACTCCAGAGCCTGCCTGGCACTCTGGGGCTTTGATGGGGGGTTTCCACCCCCCTGGCCTTGAAACATCTTGGCTCCATCATCTAGGTGTTGGTAGTCCCTGCCCACCTTTGGTTCAGGCCCCAAGGGGGCCCCTGTAGCTTCCTGCTGCTCCTCCCTGTCAGACATTGGCTCTGAGGTAAGACCTGCATCTCTCCCTGAGGCCCAGAGGGTCACTGCTTCTGCCTCTGGCTCCAGGTCTACGGCAGGACCTGCTCCGTCATGTTGGCCCTGGTCCAAGGCTACAAGTTCTGCTTCTGGCTCTGTGGCCAATGGCTTTGCCACAGCCGTTAACTCCGAAGCAGGCACCAGTCCTAGGGCCACACCTACATCGTGCCGGGCCAGCTCTGGTGGAGGAGCATCAGTTGATGCCCCAAGGGGGCAGCCTACTTCTTCCTGCAGGGCCTGAAGGGTTGCCACAGCAATAGGCTCCTGGCTCAAAGGGAGGGCTGCTTCTTTTTGCAGGGGAAGAAGTGTTGCCATAGGAACAGACTCCTGGTGTAAACCGCATCCTTCAGACAGGGGCACAGGTGTTGCTGGAGCAACAGATTCCTGACTTGAGGTGAGGCCCGAGCCTGCCTCTTCCTTGTTTTGAGTCGTTACTGACCCTGCCAGTGAATCTGGGCATGGCGTGGGGCTAACTTCTTCTTCCTGTGGGGTTTGGGGCCTTTCCGTGGCGGCAGTCCCAGGGCCTAGAGTAGTGCTCACTTCTTCCTGTAAGGTCACAGGTGTTGCCACAATGACCTGGCCTATGATGAAGCCATCTTCAGTGAGTAGTGGAGGTGTTACCCTGGCAACATCCTCTTGCCCGGTGGAGGTGTCTGCTGTTTCCTCTCCAGGCTGGGGTGGGCCCGTGGCAGCTGGCTCTAAGCTCACCCCAGGGCCTGCTTCTGCCAACCTTGCGTGAGGTGTTACTGTAGTGACTGCCTCCTGGTGGAAGAGGAACCCCTCATCCTGTGGCACCTGATCTGGAATTAGTTCAGCAACTTCTTCTTTCCAGACCTGAAGTGTGGACCCCTCTTGGGCTGAGGACAGGGCCCCGTCTTCTTCCTCCTCATCCTTGCACCCACTGTCCTGGAGCAGGGCACTGGGCTGAGCATGCGGCTCCCCACTGTACAGCCTCTCGTCATCTGCCCCAGCATAGGAGGCCGAGTCTGAGTCCGAAGACGCTGCCGAGGTGTCGTCCCGGAAGGCGAAGGCCTCGTCCATGCCTTCGATGATGGAGATGTCTGACAGAGACTGCAGGAAGGAAGCAGACGGGTTCTCGTCCTCGCTCTCCTCATCTTGGTCGCCACTGGGGCTGGGAGTCTTGGTCTCGGTTGCCACCTCCTCCGAGGGGGGCAGCAGCGTCACCTCTACGGCATCCACTTGGAAGATGAGGCTGCCCTGGAAGGGCAGGAGGGCTGCGGGAATCATTGGGTCATTTGCCAGGCAGTCCAGGTCAAAGAGGGGCTCCTCCTGACTCCAGGAAGAACTGCTGTCAGTGGAGAGGCTGGATGCAGAGGAGTGGGGGTCGGGGGAACCAGGAGCATGGGGTGTCCACGTCTCATCCGTGGTGCCAGGGGGAGAGAGGCCCCGGCCCGAGGGGAGGTCCAGTCCTTCCACTGGAGCCAGCATGTCGAGGGAACAGGACGGAGAGGAAGCCCAGCTGTCCCCATCCGCTGTGATGTAGGAGCCCGAGGGGGAGGTGGGCGGTGAGTCCAGCAGCCCTGCCTCAGAGTTGCAGACCTCTCTGCAGGGCCTGAGGCCTGAAGGCAGGGCACAGGTGGCCTGTGGAGGGGTCGAGGGTGGGGTGAAGTAGGAATCGGGGTCTGAGTGAGGGAAAGGCACAGGAGGGTCACTCTGAGAACATAACTCCGAGGGTAGTTTCAAGTTAGCATGCCCACCTGCCCAGTCCCTGAGCTCCGGGGTGGCTGTGCTGGGCGGTGAGGGGGGCCTGCAGGTTTCTTCGCCCATCACAATCCGTGGCTCCAAAGTAGCTGGGAGGGGAGGCGCCACAGGCCGACCTTCAGGAAGCCCTGGGCTGGGGCCACCCTCAGCGGGGAGTGCCCAGGCTGGTGAAGCCCGGCCAGGCCCTGCATCCCAGCTGGCTCCCTCAGGCTGGGGCCGGGCACCTGGTTTGCTGGGCAGAAACCTGACCGCCAGAGACCCAGGTCCAGGTGGCAGGGCACAGTGCTTCAGCTGGTCCCCACCTGGGGGAGTGGTAGCAGCAGCATCACAGGACAACTCTGTGGGGATAGAGGAGAAGGTGAAGAAAGGCACAGAGTCCATGGGTGGCCCCTTTGGGCCACGCAAAGCATCAGCCGCACCAAAGAGAAGCAGCTCTCCAAAGCTGGTGAGAGCCTGGCCCCGGATGAGGGGAGTTGAGAAGGTGGGAAGATGGGGCAGAAAAGTGGTGTAGGTGGCACGATGGGGGAAGGACCCCAGGGCTTCTGACAGAACATTGAGCAGCTAGCTGGAGCTGGGGCGACACTTGTCAGACTTAAGCTGCAGGTTACACGTGGTCTCCCCCATTGACTTTTCTCTGAGAAACTTCAGTAAGCATTAACTTGCTTTCTCCTTTCCTTTGGGGACTTGCTTACTACTTTTTTTCCCCTATCATTTTATTAGGGGCTCATACAACTCTTACCACAATCCATACATCCATCCATTGTGTCAAGCACATTTGTACATTCATTGCCCTCATCATTCTCAAAACATTTGCTCTCCACCTAAGCCCCTGGCATCAGCTCCTCATTTTTCATTGTCATGTCTTACGCTGTCCGACGTCTCCCTTCACCCACTTTTCTGTTGTCCGTCCCCCAGGAGGACGTTATATGTAGATCCCTGTAATCGGTTCCCCCTTTCTACCCCATCTTCCCTCCACCCTCCCGGTATCGCCACTCACACCACAGGTCCTGAAGGGATCTTCCATCCTGGATTCCCTGTGTTTCCAGTTCCTGTCTGTACCAGTGTATATCCTCTGGTCTAGCCAGATTTTCCTCTAGTTCCTTAATGTCTCCCCCCCCCCCCCCCCCGCCACTATCATGATCCCAATTCTACCTTACAAATCTGGCTTACTAGCTTTTTTTACTGTAATTTGTGCTGGCCCTCACAGACAAGTCGACACCTGTGGGCCGTTGAAGCCCTTCCCCTTGACCTCCACCAAAGACATGCCGCAAACAGCAAGGTGAAGGGTCCCCACAGGGAGTCCTGCACCAGCTCCAGCTCTGTTCTGACTGCCGGAGTAACCAGATCTATTGCCATTCTAGGTTTTGTTTACAGTGTGTCTGTGTACAGTGTGGGGTTTTTCCACCCAACATGCCCCACTCCTGCCATGCTTTCTCTGGCCTTAGCAGGGCTGTGATCCCACATTCAGCCCCCATTCCCCGCCAGACAAAGCCAAGCCCTTCCCAGCAACGGGTCGGAGCCCTGCAGGCCACCAAGTCTCGGGAGAGCGACAAGGTGGAATGTGTCACTGGAATGCAGCTGTGTGCCAAGAACAAGTCACTGAATCTCCCACAAGTTACAAAGTCTCTGGGATCAAGTCAGAAGGACCGTGCAGGCATGCCGTGACCCTCCGTATGGACACAGAAAAGGGCCTGTCCTGCCCTGCAGGGCTGCCATGGAGAAGCCACCAGCAGCTCATGGAGGGATGGACTAACTTCAGCAGCCCATGTGTACTGCTGTACTTCCTTAGTGTGGACAGGGTCTGCTGCCTCCGCCGAGAACCAGGAACAAGCAGGTGCACTCCAATCCCTTCAGAATGGTGAGCGACCTTTCTGTCTTCCTCCCACCCAATCATTAAACTCCACAGTAATGTGGCCTCAGCACCATGCAGAGTTCAGTACTCATTTGTGGACCACAATAACTAACTCCCTTACACAACCACATGAGCAAATCAGGGACATGTGTCAGGAAAGACTTAGGAAGCCCAGGAGAGCAGGGGATAGAGCCTCTCAGAGTGAGACTGCAGCTCACACCTCTGCTAATGTTATTCCTCCGAGTCTTTTACAGACCGGATTTTATTAGCTGAGAACATACTGCACATTCGATTTTGAACCTTATAGTTTTTATGCAACATTATCTCATACACATTTCCCCCTTGTGGCATTCTACACGCGCTAGGTTCATTTCCAAAGGCTGTGTGAGGTCTCATTTAAGGGGTCCCTACCAGCTAGCTTCCCTCAACAATCTGCACACTTATACAAGCCAAGACAGTGATGTTCGAAGCATTTGCATAAGCCCTGAGACTCCTACCAAAAGCTGAGGCCAGTCACTGCCTGGGAGAGGGAGGGGAGGTGGCAGCACAGAACAGTTGCCGGGTCTAAGTTCTTGGCAGTAACGTAAGGAAGGCAGGGCCCCAGACAGTTCCACCACCCTCCCCATGTGATTTGCAGTAAGTTTTCAAACCTCTCTGTGTCTCAACTCTCTCAGCGGTTAACTGGGTACAAGGCTGCTGGCAAGATCTCTGCTGAGCTTGGAAGTGAAGTTTAGAAGGGTGTGATTCTTCTGGGCATGTCTCCCTCAACAGCCGGCACTCCAGGCCTTAGGGCCGGCTAGCATGCGCCTTCAGGGCCACACCATTTTGGGTTCTTGTAGGAGCTGGGAAGTCGGGTGCTGTGGGGGCCAGGGGATCCAGAGAGGCTGGCCATTTGGGTCTCCTGGAGTGTCAATGCGACCCCATACCAGGGAGTGAGCATGGCTGGAGAAGTGTACGGGGTGACACTGGCACACTGAGGCTGGTGCTCCTGGCACTGATCCTGGGCGTAGCCCTTGCCTACGTGCGTGCTGGAGCAAGGTCAGAATGCAAGGGGGCTACTGACAACCAAGGTTTGTTCAAGGTCACTGAGTTCATAGGAGCAGAGCTAGCACAGCACCCAGGGCCCTGGAGGTGTGCATTGCCTCCCCTACCCCGGGCCCTGGGAGGGGCATCCTGTGAGCAGGCCTCATCCTCTCCACTCAATACTGGTTCCTCCCCAGGATCAAAGCGCTGGACTCTGCTCACTGAACAAGGCTGCCCTTGGTCACCCTTGAGGCATGGACTGGCTAGGTGGCACCATCTCACAATGTCCGAGCTGGACACTGGAAGCCACCCCGGGGGCTGAGCTTCTCCAGACCTATAATCGACCCCACCCTCCTCCACCAACATTGGCTGACACAGCAGCTCCAAGGGCACAGGGGTTCTCTGCATCCTTGACACCTCTGCTGGACTCTCTTCACTCCCTGGGGCCCCTCCCCCAACCTCTCCGACATTTCAGAGCCAAGTCGGCCCGTTTCCCTACAGTCCGCCCTTAGCTTCCTCTGCCTTGAACTTCAGCGGAGCTGCTGCCCATGAAGGCGAACCACCCATCTTCAGCTAAACGTTCCCCTGGTGCATCCCTGAGGCATCTCGACGGGCGTGTAGGTTTCCCGGCATCGCACCCCCTGGAGACATGACAGGCAAGCGAGTCTTTGAGGGTCGCCAGCTGATCTCCCACCCCACAGGCTGCCCTCCCTGCCGGGCAAGAACCGCAGCTCCGCGCAGACAATGAGGCACTGCGCCTGGGCCCCGGCCAGAAGACAGTGCCCCAGTCCCGGGACTCGCCTCCCGACACTCCTGGGCCTCTCTTCCCCGGAGTGGGGCGAGGGTGGGTGCAGGCTCCGGTGGAGAGAAAGAGGGCCCGAGGGGGTGGGGGAGCTCGGGCGGCCTGGGAGCGGGTGGCAGGTTGGGTAGGGCGGTGGGAACGGGGAGCAGCCGTGGAGCGCGGGGCTGCGGAGCAGCGGACCCGGATCCCGGGGCTCACCTGTGCGCTGGCCGGCGCCGCCCGCCTCCGGCAGCAGCAGCTCGGCGCGGGCCGCCTCCCCGGGCATGGCCTGGCCGTGCGCCCGCGGGGCCTGCAGTCGCTGGCTCGGTCGGCCGGTTGGTGCGTGCTGCCGCCTGCGCGGCCACCACCCCGCGGCTGGCGGGAGGAGGGGGTCGTGTGACGTCAACGCCCCGCCCGCCTGGCGCCACGGGTGAGCGTGTGCGCGCGCGCGTGCCAGGCGCTGCGGCGGCTGTGGGGCTCCGAGCGGGTGGTGCGGCCCGGCCCGCCCATGGACGGACGCCCAGCCCGCGCGCTGCGGCCCACGGGGCAGGTGCGCCCACCTGCCTGCCCACGGGTGGGCGACACCCTTCGGTTGGCTGGACAGAGCCAGGGGCTTCACCGAAGGCTAGGGAGAGAGGGAGGGAGAGGGATGGGTGGCCGGACGCGTGCCCTGCCCTTTCTAGACTGTGGTGTGATGGAGATTCGGGAAGCAAAAGATTGCGAAGCCGGCCCCTCCGGCGCCACGGTCTTCGCTGGGGCCGTCTCTTTGCAACTGGTGGATGTGCAGAGGGTACGTGAGGGGCCAGGATGGAGCCTTAGCGCCAGCAGCCTGGCTCCTCCAGCCCCAAGGTGAGCTGCAGCTGGCGGGAGGGGGAGGGGTTGAGGTACCATGGGATTGGCCGATGCTCACCGTCGTAGGTCTCCATAGAAACCGCCTCCCGTCCCCATGGCAACCAGCGAAGGCGGAAGCGCTGGCCAGGAAGGAGGTCCAGGACCTCTCCCTGGGCCCTGGATCTCCACAGCTCTCCATCGCTTGTGATTTGCCCTCGCAGCCCCTCACTTTTGCAGATACTAGAAGAAGAAAGGAGAAGAAATACGCCTTCTTTTGTTTGGGGCAGCCGCCGAAGCCACGGCTTTCATGAATGTGCACTTTCCCGTTTGCCGTTCCAAAATGCATTGTTTGCTGCCAACAGCTGGATCCACCATCCGGATCCTCTGAGCACCCACCCCGTGCCAGGCACTGGGAGGCAAAGATGAATGAGATGTTGTTCCCACCCGGAGCTCTCAGACAATGGGGAAGAAAGGAATTAGAACACATGTCAGAATGTTTCCTCCATCTCCAGTCCTCTGATCTGCAGGCTGCATGTCAAGATCATGAATCTAGGCCCACCCTGGCGTTCCTTCCCTCTCAGCCTTCCTGTTCAACGTGGCCTGTCTGGCTGAATGCTGGGCATCACTCTCACTAAATCACAACCACCAAACCCACCAGGCCCAAACCTAAGCCCTTTCCTCAAAGGCAGCGTGCATTCTCTCAGTCAGCAAAGCCGCCCATCCTCATTTTCCAACCAGCAAATGGTTAGCTCGTTCTTTTTCCTCCTTTCCTCCACAGTCTTCACGGAAGAACGATCGTCACTTTCCAACGATTTCTAAATTGCCTTTATGACCTTTCTCCCGTTGCTTGAGCTGAAACTTTAATGAGCCCAACTGCACTGACAGCTGCGGTACATAGTGTCACCCACTTCTGAGTTTTCAAAAAGGAAATCAGAGCATGTCATCCATAGGTTTAAAAACACTTCGGTGGGAATCCAAATGTTTCCAGTACAGACAACATGGCACAAATCTGTCTTGTGGTGTTCCTCCCCATTAAATATTAGGGGAGGCCAAAAAGTATTGCTACGAGTTTATAAAAACCTTTATTGAATAGAAATTATCAACATGTGAAGCTATTACTTCTCAAACATATCCTTCATGTAGGCCAGTCAAATGCTAGAGTTTCGCTGTCTCTAACCCTCCCCCAAGAACTGCACTTTTTGATGTACAATACATTAAAATGTCAGTTTCAACATAATAGACTGAAATTGTGTTCCATTTAAATGTTTTTTTCTTTTTAATTTAGGGTACAAAATAATAAGAAGGGCCAAGATCAGTGTTGTAGGATGGATGGTGGAAGGTTTTCCAGTGAATTTTTAAAAAATAATTTAAAATCTAATTATGGGAATGGATATTTTTGTTTTATGTTTTAATTTTCAAAAATTGTCCACACACAGCGAAATGTTTGCGTTTGTGCTGTATTTTCTTGTTTTTTGTTTTTATCACAGAATTCCATTGCACTTTGCATTAATTCTTGAATAGGGGATTTCAAAAAGCTTGTGGGAAAATTTTATTATCTTTTATTTTCATTTCCCATGAACTTTTTTGTGTGTTGTGTGTATCTTTGCATGTCTCTATCCATGTGTATCTGTGTATCTCCTTTTTAAAATGTAAATAAATATCATTTGTTTGTTTATATTTTTTCTCACCTCCCTCCCTCCCTACCCCCAGCCTCCACTTAATCTTCAAAGTCTGCTTCTTTTGGTGTGAAAACTATTTTTCTTGATTTTATTGTACAATAATGGTCTCATGCTGTGTTTTTCTCTTTTTTTTTGCTGTATTTTTCTTTGAGATTGACTAAGTTTGGTGAGCATATTGTCTTCCAAACTTGCCCATGTGCTGATGTGTTTGACAGTTTCCTCCCTGTTTTCAGGGCTTATTTTGTATGAATCCACCAGAGTTTGTTTATCCAGTCCTCCACACTGGGTATTTTGGTTATTTACATGTACTTGCTATTGTGGACAGAGCTGCAATAAATATGGCTGTGCATATATCTGTTCATGTTTTCTTCTTTATTTCCTTGGAATATAGAGAGAATATAGAGATTGCTAGGTATATCTATCCACTGTTGTTTAACAAAGCATGATACTGTTTTTCATAGTGGCTGTAAAACTCTACAATCCCACTAGCAATGTATAAGGGGTCCGATCTCTCCCCAGCAATGTATAAGGGGTCCGATCTCTTCACATCCTCTCCAGCATTTATTTTCTGGTTTTATGTGTGTTGCTCTGAGCGCTGGTATGAGGTAGCATTTCATTCTTGTTTTAATTTATATTTCTCTGATAGCTAGTGATCATGAACATTTCTTCATGTGATTGTTGGTTACTTGGATGT